CCTAACCCTAAACCCTAAACCCTAAACCCTAAACCCTAAACCCTAAACCCTAAACCCTTTTATAAATATACTAAATAAAGACTATAATCCTCATCTATCTATTTCTCAAGTACTTTGTTACATTCTAGCTCTAGATTAATACAAAATGACTTAAACCCTAAACCCTAAACCCTAAACCCTAAACCCTAAACCAGTTAACTAAAATATTTAAAAATATCTTAAAATTAGTGAATAATCCCTATGAATAAAATTAATATATTTTATAAATATACTAAATAAAGGCTATAATCCTCATCTATCTATTTCTCAAGTACTTTGTTACATTCTAGCTCTAGATTAATACAAAATGACTTAACTACATTCCATAAACCATAAATCCTGGGCCCTAACCCTAAACCTTAAATCCTTAAATTCGTATATTTTTGAATGATTTTTGGCATTTTAATTCTCAAACATTTAACCACATTCTAGCTCTAGATTAATATAAACATACTTAAATATACTTTATACCTTAAATCCTATCCCTAAAGCCTAAACTTTGTATAACTAATTTTTTAAAAATGTTACTAGGTAAATTATTTATTTTTTAACTAGTAAATTTAAAGAACTCTATATTCATCATTAATTAGTTAGATAACTTTAATGAGATCTCAACTTTTGGATAATAAGGACAAGTAGAAACAAAACCTCTGCGGTCTAGTTCCTATATCCATATTGGTTGTATTTTTGTATCAAAACAACATAACTAAAATTTTCAAAAATACCTCAAAATCAGTGAACTAACACCTATGAAAATTCAATTTTATAAATAAATGGAATAACTAAAAAAAAATTATTGTGTTCATTTTATTTCTAGAGACATAACATCATTCAAACACTAAATTAATATTAACTAGACTAGCTTCAAAAATTATATTGCAACTTTATTATTTTTTATCAAATAATTTTCAAAAAACTCTATATATATCATGGCTAACCCTGATTTGCATGGATTATCAAAGATAAATAGGAATCCGAACCTCCACATACTAGTTTAGAAATTTCTGTAGAATGTATGTATTTATTAAAACAAGCTAACTAAAATATTTAAAAATATCTCAAAATTAGTGAATCTCTATGAAAATATTTAATATTTTTTATAAATACACTGAATAAAAAATATAATCATCATCTCTCTATTTCTCAAGTACCTCATTACATTCTAGCTCTAGATTAATAAAAACTAATTTAACTACATTCCACAACATAAACTCTAAGTCTTAGACCCTAACCCTAAGCCCTACGTCCTAACCCTAAGCCCTAACCCTAAACCCTAAATTCTTAAATTTGTATATTTTTAAATGACTTTTGGCATCTTAATTCTCAAACACTTAACCACATTCTAGCTCTAGATTAATAGAAATTTATTTAAATATATTCTATACCTTAAATCATATCCCTAAAGCCTAAACTTTGTATAACTAAACTTTTTTAAATGTTATTAGGTAAATTAATTATTTTTAACTAGTAAAGAAATTTATATTCATCATTAATTAGTTAGATAAGTTTTATGAAATCTTAACTTTTTGGATAATTAAGGACATGTAGAAAAAAAACATCTGCGGTATGGTTCCTATATCTATATAGGTTGTATTTTTGTATTAAAACAAGATAACTAAAATTTTCAAAAATACCTCAAGATTAGTAAACTAACACCTATGAAAATTCATTTTTTTGAATAAATGCCATAACTAAAAAAAACTTATTCTGCTCATTTTATTTCTAAATCTTTGAATTGTACACCGCATGATAAAACAAAATGCCTCCAAAGAAATCATGAAACTTCTACAATTTGATACCAATGGTTTTGTATCTAAAGTTTATTAATTTAAAAACCAAAATTCGAAAAAAGCCCTTGCAGTATTATGGGCTTTGTAAATCGGGTAGGCCTCTAAGGTAACGAGCCATATTTTGAAAAGCCCATTTAAGGTGGATGAACCTTACGCGGCGCATGACGACTGAGTCCGCGTCAGAAAAGGGGGCCAACTGCTCCGCGGCCGCCGTCGCTGCCAAGAATCTCGCACGTGAGGACCTTTCCTCATTCCCCCAAACCGCCAAGTATTCGATGAATCTTCTTCTTCTTCTTCTTCTTCTTCTTCTTCTTCATCTTCTTCTCTACTTTTTCCCCTTTTTATGAAGGTAAAACAAAGACAAGAATATCATTTTAAATTACGCCTCCTTTTCGGATCCCGATTCTTTGTCTTGTTCGTCTTCTTCCACGCTCTCTCCATCCAATCAAGTGCTCTTCATCCTTTCGGATCACAGATCCCATCTGATTCGGAAATTCAGTTGTTTTGATTTTGAATCCGTAATGGATAAATACGACGCTTTATCAGATTTTCTCAAGGAATTCTACATCCCTTCATACGTCCTCTCGCCGGAAGCAGAGGCTCCTCTGGCACTTCCCCGCAATGCTACTCCACCGGAGAGCCCCGTCCTTGTCTTCATCAACTCCAAAAGCGGTGGTCAGTTGGGTGGGGAACTCATTCTCACCTACCGTTATCTTCTCAATGACGAGCAGGTAATTTCTTCAGCGATTAATCTGGATCGTGTGTAGATGTTTGGACTTGTTTTCTTTCTGGTTATAATCACACACTTTCTGCCTCAGGTCTTTGATCTTGGGCAAGAGACTCCGGATAAGGTGCTCCGGAGAATCTATCTTAACCTGGAGAGGCTAAAAGATGATGATTTCGCTCGTCAGATTCGGGAGAAATTGAAAATCATTGTGAGTTTACCAACAATTGCAATCTCCCTTTAGCCAACGCCAAGGAACCCTATGTGTGTGCTCATTACCAAGGAAATTGGTCTTTAGGTTGCGGGAGGTGATGGAACTGCTGGCTGGCTCCTTGGAGTTGTATGTGACCTTAAATTATCACATCCTCCACCTATTGCCACCGTTCCTTTGGGTACAGGAAATAACCTTCCCTTTGCTTTTGGATGGGTGGGTAACACTTAATACTTGGGTACATGTTCATATGTTTCCTTACTATCACAAAGCGTTTCAATCTCTTGCTTTTCTTCAGGGTAAGAGAAATCCGGGAACAGATAGGACCTCGGTGGAGTCGTTTTTGGATCAAGTGTTCAAGGCCAAAGAGATGAAGATTGACAAGTATGTACATATCTCTCTTTTTTTCCATAGTTGAGAGTGTATCCCTAATTTTGTGAATACATTTCTCTACTTTAAGTTGGCACATACTTATGAGGATGAAGACTCCTAAAGAAGGCTCTTGTGAACCTCTTGCACCTCTTGAGTTACCACATTCTCTACATGCATTTCACCGTGTTTCCCCAACAGATGAACTGAATATGGTAGATAATCTCATCCTGTTTGCCTCCCACGGAATAACTGTATCATTTCTGCCATTTTGTCTTATATGGAATAACCCTTTACTCTCCCAGGAAGGTTACCACACATTTCGCGGGGGATTCTGGAATTACTTTAGCCTGGGTGAGAATTTTTGTTTGTACAAATGCTCATCTGCTTCCATTTAACTCTGGATAATCCTTAGTTTGTATAAGCATAACCACGGCGGTTGTGCTTCCCTTACGGAATTGTGATCTACCAGTGAGATGGTTGATGAGCTAGAAATCATAACTTACTATACTAATTATTTAATTAAACTGCCATCAAGGTGTTGGATTGTCTCTATAGCACGTGGCAGTGCTTTTCTTTTGTTAATATGGTCAATAATCATCTTGATTATCAATTTCCAAAGATAAATCCCCTTGAAAGCTCGATTGTGCTTGTTCAGGAATGGATGCTCAAATTTCGTATGCGTTTCATTCTGAGAGGAAGCTGCACCCTGAAAAGTTTAAGAATCAACTGGTTAATCAGGTACCTTGTTCTTGAAGTGTTGCTTATGCTTTTGGTCTGCTTACCCATTTCTTAGTAGTTTACCCTAAATGCTTTTGCTTGATTTTATTTTCGCCGATTTCGGGATGTGGAAGAAATAGTGATTCTGATTTGTTAACGCCTTCCCTTTTTCTTTCCTGATATTAAAACGAAAACAAGTAATAAATACTTTGCATTAGCTTCACATTCCATTTTTTTTTCTTTCAAAATGCCAGAGTACGTATGTAAAGCTTGGTTGCACGCAAGGATGGTTTTGTGCCTCTCTTTTCCACCCTGCTTCACGGTGAGTAAGATGTGAATATATTCTTCTTCCAGTTTCTCTGTTTTTCTATTCCTGAGCTTCAGCTCCCCCCCTCACAACTTCTCATTGTTTCCGGCATGGGAACTTCTTAGACATGCTCCAAAATTATTTTAATGCTCTGCAGCACTTCAGCCTCATCCTTTGTTTTAAGTATACTGTTATAGTGTCAGTAATTGGAAATTTGGCGACAATAGTTATTCTCTGCATACGTTCATTTCTCTGCTTGGGTCTCGTTGTGTGCTAAACCATGTCAACTTTGAATACTCGTCAACATCACTATACAAAAATGCATCTATGAGCACCTTATGTTCTACAGTCTATTTTTATTTTTTTTGGCTCAACTTTATAGTCTTAAATGAATGTAATTTATGGTGGTTATATTATGTCGGTAATGGAGTCCACATTTCTTACATTTCCAGTCTCTATCTGTAACCTGATTTCTGTTGCTCTCTTACACGATATAATGGACAGCTCTATGGCTTTCCCTGTAGGAACATAGCTCAGCTTGCAAAGGTTAAGATTGCAAATAAAAATGGGCAGTGGCATGACCTCCACATACCCCATAGGTAATGTTTATTCATCCAATCTAAATGATCCTGAGGGATCAATGGACTAAGTGTCTGTCATGAAGTCTATGTTGGATAGTCTTGGGAATTTTCTGTGTTGGATCTTTAACTAGATATACTTACAACTCAAATTGTGGCAAAGCAATGCCCGACTTTCTTGCAATATGCTGTTAAACCGCGAATATAAACTACTCCAGTTCCTGACATGTGTTTTTGCTCTCACAGCATCAGGTCCATTGTATGTCTGAATCTGCCCAGCTTTTCTGGAGGACTAAATCCTTGGGGCACACCAAATCCCAGGAAACAACGCGATGTAGGTCTTGAATTCTCTTGACATTCCAATTTTCTATATTTGTCTTTGCCATGGTAAAATAATAGGCATAATTCTTTCTTGTGACACAACAGAGAGACTTGACTCCACCATTCGTTGATGATGGCCTCATTGAGGTTGTTGGGTTTAGAAATGCTTGGCACGGTCTTGTCCTGCTTGCTCCAAATGGACACGGAACACGACTTGCCCAGGTAGTTATCGTACAGAAAGGAAGTGATAGACATACACACAGAGGCACATATCGATATGACGATTGAGTGCATACAAGTTATAACTTATCGAGCTGGATTACTCTTTTGTAACTAGGCAAACCGGATTCGCTTTGAATTTCACAAAGGTGCAACGGACCATACATTCATGAGGATGGATGGGGAGCCCTGGAAACAGCCACTGCCAATGGATGATAAAACGGTGATGATAGAGATTTCACATCTTGGCCAAGTGAATATGCTTGCAACTCATGACTGCCGATCCAGAAGCATGTACGACCCTTCAACACCACGCCATCAGGATGCCGCAGAAGAGTATGATGATAATGAAGACGACTCAGTGGCTGAAGAGGAATTTAGAAAGTTTGGTGCTGCAGATACCTTCAAGATTCCTGACGAGGTTGATATTTCTCACCTTAGTTAGACGATTAGCCGTTTTCACAGTTGTTTCTACGCATTCTTCCTCCGGTCTCTGATTTTTTTTTTTTTTTTAATTGGTCACATTTGTGTTCTCTTTCATAAAGGAAACAGCTAGCAGCAATTGGTACAGATTGGTACCCATCAATTTTTCTTTTCATTTTTCTTTAGTTGTTCAAGCTGAATGGTCGAGACAGTTATGTAATGTATCTGGATTTTATTTCAGCGCGGTTCCCTGTGCTATTCGTGCATGTGGTACAAACAAAAGGCGGAAGCTTTTATTAGATGTTAAAACTAAGAAGTGAAGTGTCTGTAATTCCTTTGCATGGAATCTGACTGTTGGAGGTTCATTCTGATGTTTTTTATAGGGAGAACACAATAATGAAAAAGGCAGGGGCTCAAGGAGAGGGAAATTTCATACATCATGGTTGGTCACATTCCCTCTGAAAGCAGCAACAAAATTCTCGTATGAGTAGAGACACGACACAACCCCATCAATGTATCTAATAACTGCATACCTGAATCGACATTTATGTAAAAACTCATAGAATCCAAACAGAGAGAAAGATCCTTGTCCATGTAAGGACCGGAGCAAACTTTACGCATTTGTCTGAAATGTTCTTAGAAATGAGCACATATATATAAATACATATATCTATATATCTTGGGCCAGGTAGTTCTGTTAAAGAACAAGAAAAATAATAAAAAGCACAATTGATTGTTTAGTATTTCCGTTCAACCAAGAAAGATGGATAATATAGGGTATCTACCCCGAGACACTTGGAGATTGTTTCGTTAGCTTTCTGGGATTCGGCGGCTCTTTCCCCCTGCTTCTTCTTCTCCCTGAGTAACCAGAAGTAAAAATATCCAAAGTTAACGTTCCACGACGCTAGATTTAACATACAAATCTTCCGATCACGATGGAAAACATGCGTATTGCTTTTCGGAAACCAAAAGTTTCATCATGCAGCAAGCATTATATTTGCCGAAATAGACAGTGGTTATAACGGGTGGATAGATAGGGTTTGGCATCAATACCTCTCGACATACTCCTTGAGTAATTCCTTGGCTTGGACTAGCTTTGACAGCAGGTTACGATACACATCGAGGTCCCGATCCACGCTTTTCTTGTTGATATTTAGGGATGCACAAAGCTGTTCCATGAGACACAGAGATCAAAATTACCTCTAGGGAGAATGTGACAAAGTCAGAAATAACGACACACTTGCACAATGCCAGGGAACATAATGGATATACAGACGTGCCATCTAAGCAAAACCTAGCGACATTCCTTCCTCTAGATCACCAAAATTAATATAGAATAGGATACAGAAAGGCAACGCAAAACCGAAATTGGTGAAACGCATCAGTCCATCACACGACTGATGCAAAAACTTTCGGCAGATTGAAGATGCTATCACATATAATTAAGCCCTGAATTTAGATTATAAAAGAAAAAAGAAAAAAAAGAAAAACAAATAGTATGACCTTGTCCAAGACAGTTGGATCAGTTGCACTTGCAAGCTCAAGCAAACGAAAGAGGCCAACTGCGAAGAACCTGCTGTAACTGAAGCCCTCTTTACTACCAGCTCTTGCTGCAATGTCCTTAAGGATTGCTTCAACTTCTCCGTCCCTAGAGGAAAAGTCAACTAATGAAGCAGAAGTCTGACTTCGGGCCCATTCCTCCATCTTCTGCGCATCAATTCTGTGGTGAGGAAGAAGAAGAAAAAAAACGAAAAAGGTGCACAATTTTGTTATACTCTTTGAACAAGACAATTTAGAGGAGGAGAGGGAAGCAGCAATGAGAGCTAACCGGTATTGTTTAGGATCCTCATTCAAAGCTTCAACGTAAGCTTTAAAAATGGCATCTCGATCCTGGTCGCTAGGATATCCGTCCATGAGCTGATCATATACAGTGACAAAGCCAAGGGCAAAGACAGGATCGTAACGGTAAGTCCTCTTGTACCTCATCAAATGCTGCTGTACAATGAGCTCCTGCAAAACCGTGTTGTAGATACTGGGGATGGGTCGCTTGTAGGCTTTTAGGAAATTTGACTTTGTCTCGGATACCGGAGGTACATCTTCTGACAACCCAATAAGCATATAAAAGAGTTGTGAGTAGTTTTTCAAATGTCGCATGCGTAAAGAGTTTTGCTCATCCCAGAATACATAATTGATTAATAGATAAACCAAGGATTGCCAAATGCAATGTGACAAAACATAAGCGAATTAATGAAAGTGGAAAGAGAGAAAGAGAGAGAGAGAGAGGAGAGGAATTCACCGGTAACACTGGACATGCAGTGGATAATAGATCTCGAAGAAGAAGTGGAAGCCCTAGAAAAACTCAACGAGTGGCGAGAAAACCTCCTGCAGATGGCGGAGGCGGAGACGGAGGCGAGAGGACGACAAGGCGCGAAATTGGAAATCTTGTCCGATTGACCCAACGCCGGAAAGGAAAGAGAAGCGATTGCAGCCATTTGAGAAGGAAAGGAGAAAGAGATAAAATTGAGAGTTAGTTGTTTTGGGATTTTGGGGGAGAGGATGGCTCAATCAATCAAGTGATAGCTGCCATGGCTGGTTGGATCTTCTGAGTTTGGACTTGGGAGAGCTTATCTTTCCAACTCCACGAGTTGTCACAAGTATGACACGTGTCTCCTTCTGTGCGTGTTAACACTAGGCCCGGAAGATGGCCCGTTTGCTTTGTTTTTGCTCTAAAACCCGCTCCAAGTAACAAAAGCCCATAAAATGCCTTAGTCACAAAAACTTTTGTTTAGTGGATAACTTATTAGACATATAATAATACTATATATAATATTTCATCATCCACTAATGAATCTCAAATCTACTTTCTACTGAAAGCATAAGATGGAAGTACAAACACTAACGAAATTTATACATAATAATGGTATTGAACAAAATGGATTGACCCATTATGGTAATAGAGAATCAGAATGTGTGACTGTAAATTATGCAGGGATTGGAGATAACAAAATAAGGACAGTCTCCATCCAAATCATAAAGAGCATACGAACTAAGTACTAACCAAGCATCTATATAACAAGTGAAGGTGCAGAGCAAAGAGTTTTAATTTTGTGGGGGTTCCTGATCTTCCTTCTCCTTGTGGTTATAAGAAATGGAAAAATGGTAATCATCCCAGATAGTGCTTCCAGGTCCCCAATCCTTTGGAATTGCATTGAACCATGCCTCAGCCCAACCCGTCTCTTCGCTCGCCACTTCAATGTTCGAATTATCATCCCTTCTCTCGCTTGCCTCATCACTAGCAGCAGTTGGCATTTCACACTGTTTCTAATACACTGGAGTTGACTCTTGTTTATTCAGAAAAAGCTCCGAAAAATTAAGCCTGGTGGTCTCTTCCCTTAGCTTGAAGGCTTCCCGGTCATAGGCCATGGCAGCTTCCTCTGCTGTATTGAATATCCCAAACCAAGAGACGTGTTATGTTTCTTGGCTTACGGATCTCGGTGACCCATTTACCCCAGTGTCGTTGTCTAACCCCTCTGTACAGCTTGGTGGCGCTCAAAGGTTGGATTGGTGGCCTTGCCAGTGCCAGAAGCAAATCACCTTCTTGTCTTAACATTTTCATCATCATCATCATTATTCCATCATTATTCCGCTCGGGCTCAGATTCAGAATGTCTCTCCAGTACTGCAGTAGGTTTTGCTGTTGTTGTTGCTGCTGTTGTTGTGCGTTTAAAAATTGCTGCACATGCAGTTGAGGACCAAACGAGATCATATGTGTCTGCCTTGCAGGGTCATTCGTACTCGGGTAAGAAAACTGTTTATGATTCTGTATAATTGGAGCAAGGGAAAACAGAAAAGCGACCTTCGAAGAAGCCACAAGGGAAGAAGTTGTTGGCGGCTGATCAGGTGTAGCATAGGAAGAGGATAAGAGATAAGGATTGTGCCGGTCAAGGGTCCTAGCCTTTTTTAGGCTTCTCTGGGATGTCGAGGAAGCTTTTCCAAAATATGGCTTCCAAATGTCGGATGCATAACCCAAATCTTTACTCTTAACTCTATTAGATTGGAGCTTATCTTCCAACTCCAACTCATTTATTTTCTCTGTTTTGTTGGTACTGAGGCTCCTGATGGATTTTCCCTTGTTCTTAGCACTAACCATAAATGACCTTCTATTTTTTATCTTTTACTGGTAACAAAATAAAAGAATTAAGAATATGCTAGAAAATGGTCCACTGGAAATATGTAAAAAAAATGTTTGTCTTATCGAAAACAGAGGAAGAGCCAGAGAGACTGCAAGAAAGTTGTGTTGTGCGGTTATGAAATGGTTTTCCCCTATATATCAGAGCCGTGGGGTCTTAACTAACTGAAAGATGTTGACATATATCACTAAGCAAAATACTCAACCCCTGGCTGGCTCTTAGGTCTTATCATGCACTCCTCTGTTTCCTTTGGACGGTGAAACATTCTTTTTTTTTCTTATAAATTATTATAAATGTGTTTGCACGCATTTGATGGTAGTATATGGTCGGCTAATCGCGGCTAAGAATAACATGAGATGAGACTGAAGCAATTAATTACGACGTCACCTGTGTTTTCTAGTTAGAGGTTCATCATCATCCCTCAAATTCAAAGCTTAGCAATTGTTGGTCAAAGTCAGCTGTGCCTTTTCTTATTTTCTTTACTTTTTGACAAAAGGTATTCAATAAAAATGCATCATAACTATTACAAGCTATGATCTTTTTGGATCATACAGTTGGCAGAGATGGATGAGCCTAAAAGACAGTCTTGCTTTAGGCTTATTTGTTCTTATGACATTTTATAACTTTCAATAAAATATCTCATCCAACATCATTTTTGTCCCATGTTTCAACAAACTCAATAAAATATCTCTTGTACCCATAACCCATTGTGATTTCAGTATCACCTTACATATATGGATAAGTACAGTTTCTATGTTATAATTTTTTTAAAAAGACTAGACAACTGCTTGGATCCATAAGCTTCTAGTACCAATTGGGTTAGATCAATTTATTACTAGAAGTTGAAGTCGGTCGTTATAACGATTAAACCTTGAAACTGAATGTTTTCAAATATCATGTTTTCCCGATCCCAACACATACATCGATAGAGTAGATATCACAAGGATATATGGAATAAACAAATCAGGAACTAACTAACAAATTTAAAGATTTAACACACACACATACACACAAAAAAACAAATTTAAGGAAATTGTTTGTGATAATGGAGAAATATATGTAATTAGCATAAGATCAAATTACTTTATTGTTTTCCATGGGGCATATCAAGATGACGGGAATGCTAAGAGGTGGGGAACCTAAACTTTCGGCAGAAGAAATACATAAAATCTAAACAAATAAATTTAAAATACAGAGATAAAAAGGGGTTCATATCATCACAAGAAGTCAACAGCTTAAAGCTTAAAAGTCGGTGAAGGAATGGGTCAGCTCTCTCCACTTCTCCACTTTCCCTCTTCTCTCACTCCAATCATATAACCTAGTCTGTTTCATTCAAACTAAAAAAAGGGAGGATTACTACACTAACCTTAGAAATTATCTATATTACTGGTTCGACGTACTTTTATTTTTTTTACAAAACTAACCTAGCATACCCAAAACACCCTTTTCGCCTTTGTTGAAAAAAACCTTATTACGAAAATGCCATTACTTTTTTAATGCCACGTAGGCAGATTTATGCGCTCAAAAATTAATAAGTCTACCAAGCAATGACGGTAGACTTATGAAAATTTGGTCAACGCAGAAATTTTGTTGGTAGAGTTATTAGGGCGATGGTAGATTTGTTCAAGAGTTGGTAGAGTTTTTAAATGTTGGTAGACTTTTTTTGGTAGAGTTTTGACGATGAGAGGTAGATTTATTATGTTTCGGTAGATTTGTTGTTATGAATAGCAGACTTGTCAAAAGTTTTGGTAGACTTGTTAACAAAAGCGTTGACTTTCTCGCATAGTTGACTTTTTCGGTAGATTTATTGACAATGAAGTAGATTTATTTTCTGAGTTGGTAGACTTATTTCCTTTAGCGGTAGATTTATGTGAAAAAAGTTGTCAATACGTGCGGTAGATATATCTGTTTAATGGTAGAGTTATATATAGTTGGTAGAGTTTTAGCTATTGTAGTAGATTTGTTTGACTTGTGGTAGACTTGTTTCACTTAAAATTCATTCCGGTGAGTGGTAGATTATATGTTACATGAGGTAGACTTAAAAACTGTTGGTAGATTTATTTGTTTTGTGGTAGATATGTTTGTTTTGTGGTAGACTTATATTTTAAATAAATTTCATTCTGATTTGTGGTAGAGTAATAATGACATGAAGTAGACTTACAAGATGTTGGTAGATTTGTTTGTATGTTTGGTAGAGTTTATGTAATCTGGTAGACTTATCGGCCGTATGGTAGACTTTTTGAAATAACAATGTGGTAGATTAATTAAGTTTGGTATTTACAGAGTTAACCTTGATCTGGTAGACATATGACATGCTTATGGTAGACTTGTTTATATGGTAGAGTTATTTGTCATGCTTGAAGTAGACTTAGTAGTTAATGTTTGGCAGACATTTGTCTTTATGGAGTAAAATTACTTTTTTGTCCAAAAGAATTGTTCTATGTACAAAAAAACCTACTGTTTGGTAGACTTATGGTTGCAGTGTTGTACATCTTGCAATTTTCGTCCATATGGTAGACTTATGGTAACGGTAACCATAAACCGTTACCAACGAACCGTCGCATCGATTTAGAGAACTTCTCTTGATGCATTTTCCAACGAACAGTCGCATCGATTTCGAGAACTTCTATTGACTCGAGTCGCTTCAAGTTCTCTTGTGAGTTCTCTATAAATACCACAACCGAGACGATTCATTTCCCATCCCGCTAAACCCTATGGCGAATCTCGAGTCGCTTCCTTCTGATCTTTTGTACGAGATATTGTTAAAAATATCTTCAAACTCGTATGCGGATCTTTGTCTTGCAAAAGTTTCGTCCAAAACACTTAACAACATCTCTAACGAAGCAGGTTTTCTTAGGAATGTTGATTTAATCAACATTATCTTGCCGTGGAAGTGGGATGTTCATGGAAGGGTCGGTGCATTCTTCAGTCGGTGCTTGGCGGCAGGAAATCCATCCGCACAATTGCGAAGAGGTTTATCGCTGATTTTCTTCGAACACAACCTCCAAGCAGGGTGTGATTTCATTCAAATGGCATCAGACAACGGATTTCTCATGGGTAAATACTGCCACACTATGTTACATCTAACCATGGATGGCACATCAGAGGTATTCAACTCTGTTAAAGCTCTCTCCCGGGAAGATGCAAAGAAAATGAGATTGACAATGGAAAAGATCTTCATGCCTGCGTTCAATTTCCAGAAGCCCGAGGAACTGGTGGAAATGGTTTTCCAGGCTTATAAAAAGTCTTTAAGTACAAGGATTTGTGGTTGTCTCAAAGTACCAGACATGCAATGGATGGGAGATGAATACCTGCTAGAGACGTATGGGGATCAACTTTGTGAATCCTGCTTCTGGAAATTGGAGTGTGCCAATTTCTGGTGGGTAGTACCGTCGTTTGCTATGGATTGGCCACGTTTTTTGCATCAGTAGTTGTACTTTCATGTTTGTTGACAGACTTCTGTTAAGTAGATTTGTTTTTATTATGAAGTAGACTTATGAAAGTTATGTTGTGTTATTTATGTTGTGTTATTCATTTCGAAAGCTATTAATTATAACAAATCTACCATCAATATAATATAAGTCTACCATTTGTTCGACTGTAATTGGGAACATGACAAGTCTTTTACAACAAATCTACCAACAATTTAATATAAGTCTACCATTCGACTTAATATAAATCTACTAATCATAAGGAAACGGACTTGTACTTAACATATACGCAATGGCTGCAAACACGAACAGCAACGCCAGCATCAAGTAGTGGTCACCCCTGGCGTTTTGCTCCATCATCCAAACAAAGTCGCCTTGAAGCCGGAGTATCTCATCTTTCATTTCCCGAATGTCTCCGACCAAGTCATTGCATTCCATAGACCTCTCCAATGACTGGAAACGATTCTCCAAACGCATGAAACGAGGATCAAAAGCTTGAACCCTGCTAAGCTCTTGCAATTTCTCCTTATTCTGCTCAAGGCCAATCTTCAACCGTTCCAATTCCTCTGTAACAGCCTCATCCCACCATTTCCAGATATGGTGTGGATTCCCCTACATACATCAGGCCAATCTCATATGGTATGGATATTTTTAAGAAAACTTATGACAAATACTCAAGCTACTTACCTTCTTCAACCAGAATGGACAAGTGTAGTACCTACGGCCAGGTGTTGCGGGCGTATCACCAGGCATTGATTTGAGGATCATATCCCGACCACAATAACACTTCTCTTGAATCCCAAAGTCCCCAAAACCCGACCACTTTAACGTATCCATTTCCGGCTCTTCAGAAGAGCTGTCGCTATAGCTCGGCATTGTCTGTGTCGATAAGAAAAGTACTAAACAACACAAATCAAAATAAACAAAAGTCTACTATAAATATTTAAAGTCTACCATCAGCATATAAAGTCTACCATAAAACCAGAAAAGTCTACTATAAATGAAAATACGTAAACTCTACTACATATTTAAAAAGTCTACCACTCACACAAAAACTAGGGTTTCTGGGTTTAGGCATACAGCCGCCGATAGCCGAGAAACAACCTTTCGACGACGAAATAGATGCATTTTATCACTTTTACTAAAGCAGGACGACTTTTAGTTTGAACATGAACCCCACCAATGATAGAAAACTCCAATAATCTATAACAAAAGTCGTTTAATGCTATGAACACTAAATGTTTACCGCGGTTATAAATGTTCATACCAAATAATGTGTGAGTACTCCTTCGCCGTCGGTGGAATCGACGAAGCCAAGACGTCGCTATTACCGTTTGAACTCGTTTATATCGCAAGACCAGCTGATTTATATCGAAACTCGCTCATAAGTTTATGTTTTCTGCTGGGTTTTCACCTCCTTTAAATGTACTGTACTTTAGTTGGTAGAGCTATAAACATTACAAGTACATATGTTTTATTAATGGTAGACTTAGTGACCTATATGGTAGATTTGTTTGTAAATTGTTAGATTCAATATCAATGTGGTAGACTTAGTTATCGGGCAGTGCGATTTTACTTTTTTGCCCTGTATGTATTGTCTAAAGTACGGAACAAAACCAGAGTCCATCTTCAACCTCTAGGTTTCGCCGTCGAGCTGTTAAACTTGGGATAACTCTTGATTTTTTCCTTCTACTTCGATCTTGTGCCTCTTATCCACTTTTATATTCATGGATCAAGTTGTTTTGGTTTGTGGTAACTGGGTTTTAAAGAAAACGAGGTGGGTCTTCATCGTAGATCAGTCCAGGAGATGTAGTTTTATAGGGATAGACCGCAAAACGTCCTTTGCTGATTTGGTTGAAATCGCATATGAAGATTTCGGGTTGGATCAACATCTTTATGAGCTTCAGTTCAGCTATATGTTGTCGTCTGAAGTCCGGCGGAAATTACCTCTGGATACACCTCCTGTGTTTGTTGGTAATTCAAGACAGCTGCAGAGTTTTTTGCATCAATTCCAGAACGAAAACGAAACGGTTCGTTTATGTGTTGAGATCAAAGAAAAAGTTCAGAAGGGAGTTGTTGATGAAGACGAAGATCGAGATGCATGTCCTAGTCTAGTCCCTGAAGAACAAGTGCGCCAAGATCGTCCGCAACAAGGTGTTGAAGTTGGACAAGACGAAGAAATGCATGATGAAGAAGAGGATTTGTCAACCAGATTTGATGGATGCGAAGATCCTGATGGTGCAAGTTCCGATGACGAAGAGTACGGTAGACGTGAGAAACGTCCAGATGGTGAAAGTTCAGATGAGGAGGAGTCGCTAAATCTACCATCGAAGAAAAGGGGACCGACTACAATTCCCGACTTTCAAAGTCTAGAGCTTTCATCTTTAGACTTAGCCGTTGGCCAGCGTTATGAAACAAAAGAGGACTTCGAGATGCGACTCAAAATTCTTTCCATTGCTCACAAATTCGACTACAATGTAGATCATTCGAGTAAGAAATTGCTAACTGTTAAGTGTTGGGTAGATGGTTGCAAATGGAGGGTTCGCGCTTCAACTGTTGGGAGCAGCAAATGTTTTTGGGTTAAAACTTATACTCGAGAACACACGTGTTCTGTGACTGTGCGATCACAACGCACCTGCCATGCAACCCATGAGGTTCTAGGCCGTCTATATAAGGACTTCGTCGGCGGTGTTGGCCCAAAAGTCTTACCAAATCACGTCGCCGAAGCTCTGACCAAACGATATAGTATAAAGGTATGTGGTAGAGTTATATTATTTCTTTGGTAGAGTTATTATCTCTTTTAGTAGACTTTTATTATTTTGGTAGAGTTATTAGCTCAATTGGTAGACTTTTTTTATTTTTTGGTAGAGTTATTAGCTCAATTGGTAGACTTATTTTATATTTTGGTAGAGTTATTAGCTCATTTGGTAGACTTATATAATTTATTTGGTAGAGTTATTATCTAGCATGGTAGAGTTATTATCTTTATGGTAGAGTTATTATCTTATTTCGTAGATTTCACTATATTATTTCTCATTATCAGGTTGACTATTGGAAAGCACATCGGGCCCTAAAGTATGCTCGAGAACTAGTATCAGGGACGTCTGAAAGTGGTTATGAAGATCTGCCTTCATACTTATATATGATTCGGCGAGCAAATCCGGGTACACTAATCAAGCTAGAAGTTGATGAGGAAGATAGATTCAAATTTATGTTCCTCTCATTTGGCGCAAGCATACAGGGGTTTCCCTTCATGAGGAAAGTGGTAGTGGTCGACGGTACGTTTTTACATGGAAAATACAAAGGTACACTACTACTCGCCACCACGCAAGATGGAAACTTCAGCATTTTTCCCGTAGCCTTTGCTGTTGTTGATACTGAGAACGATGAGTCTTGGGAATGGTTTTTTACACAACTACACCGTGTTATTCCTGATGATGAAGGACTTGCCATTATTTCTGATAGGCATAAATCCATAGGAAATGCTATAGGGAAGGTTTATCCTCTTGCTAGTCGGGGTATTTGTACATATCATCTCCATAAGAACATTATGGTGAAATTCAGAGGCGCTGAAACATTCAAGCTTGTTAAGAAGGCTGCCACTGCTTATAGACTTCTCGAGTTCAATGCCCTTTTTGCTCAGATTCAAGAGGCAAATCCTGCACTGCATGCATACTTGGTGAAGACAGATATTTGTATGTGGAGTCGTGTACACTTCCAAGGTGATAGGTACAATTTCACCACTAGCAACATAGCGGAGTCATTAAACAAGGTGCTATCTGCTGCAAGAGGTAAGCCTATCGTACGACTAGTGGATGATATAAGGAGTCTCCTGACCAGGTGGTTTGCTAAAAGATGTGTGAATGCCAATAACATGGCTACCACTCTAACAACGGGCGTTGAAAAGTTGCTGGAGGTAGACACTACTTTACCTTGTAGACTTTCTATTATTTGGTAGACTTGTATCTGCTATTAGGTAGACTTTCTATTATTTGGTAGACTTGTATCTGCTATTAGGTAGACTTTCTATTATTTGGTAGACTTGGTACACTTATCTCTGTTATTAAGTAGACTTTAATTATTTGGTAAAGTTATTACTTCTATGTGGTAGACTTATATAACTTCTAAATAATTCCTTGCTGACAGGCTAGAGTTGAAGATGCAAAACTCTTACCTGTGCAAGAGATTGATCAGCATCGTACAGAGGTTTTAGGCACAACATCTGCACATGTTGTCAATTTAACGGAGAAAACATGTACTTGTCGACGGTTTGATTTGGATAAAATTCCTTGCGTACATGCCATAGCCGCCGCCGATAGGAGGAAGTTGTCGCCGATCTCTCTTTGCCATCATTACTACCACACTAGTTACTTGCAACAAGCGTATGCTGTTAGTGTGATGCCAAGAGACGTAGCACTCCCTGTGCCAGATGAAGTAGCAACCAAAATTTGTCTCCCGCGTGATGTTCGCAACCGACCTGGCAGGCCAAAGAAAATTCGGATTAAGGGTGCGTTCGAGGCCGCCATGGCGAGTAAACGTCCTCGGAAGATCCCCAAATGTGGTAACTGTTGCCAAGGCGGACATAATCGCCTAACTTGTCGAGCTTAGTTGACAAATCGAAAACCTTGTATTTGTACTATTATAGACTGCAATAATCCGCTTAAAAACCTTGTTTTATGTACTTGTAAATCTGGAACTTGTTTTATCTAAACTCTACTATTTTACAATAATAAATCTACCAATCATGTTATAAATCTACCAATATTGCAATAAATCTACCAATCATGTTATAAATCTACCATTCATGGAATAAATCTACCAATCATGTTATAAATCTACCAATATTGCAATAAATCTACCAATCATGTTATAAATCTACCATTCATGCAATAAATCTACCAATCATGTTATAAATCTACAAAGCAGGTTCCTTTTACAGCCATGGCGAGTCGCTTTAAATTCCAAAACACAAGCGACGTCTAAATTCCAAAAGACCACCAAAGAGGCTGGCTATGAGTAATAAATCGGCCAAAATACAACATCCGATACCAAAACTCTACCAATTAGTTTGGATCTGAGTATTAAATCTACCAAA